GCCAACTGTCCTTTTATAAAGGAATCACAGCTTTCCCCCAGCTCTTCAATTCTTGAACATCACTCCCATGTCCTCCACGACGAAAGGTCACACAGCGAGGCTGCTGGGCCAAACTCTCTCCTGCTGTAACTTCCCTCATCTCCAGAAACAAAAAGTTAAAAGGATGGGTTTGGTTTTTTTGCTGTTGTGCTTTCTTTTCCAAAGCAAGTTCACTTAAGCCATGAGCTTGGATCAGCTCAGGTTTAGATGCCAGCAGGCATAATGTCTAGGCAGAGCTTCTCCAAACTTATAGCTTACAAAAACTGTGAACTAAGAACATATTCTAATTCAGTGTTTACATTAGACACCAGTCCAAACTATTAGCTGACAGCTGTGCTTTCCAGCTAGTGAGCAGAGTAGGCTTAGCACGTTGACACTTCCCATTGGAACCGTGAGCTCTTTTAGTGGGCTCCTCAGCCTCTACGAAGTGTGTATTTCTTGTTGCTAACCAGATGAACAGATCTCAGCATCTGGTTGCTGCTTAATTGCATGAATCAGGAAGAGCAAGGTGAGCTTCTCCTCCTGCCCTGAACCAGAAGGGCACAGCAGCAAAGTGAGTGTGAAACGAGGGGTATCCCTGAAGAAGCTTTTATGTCATGAAGGCAGAAACCTACGGGGGTCCAGGCTGAGCCCTCCCAGCTCCCAGTGGCTGCAAGTCCCACTCCTGTGGGACAACTGAGCTCCCACCACCCCAGCATCACGTATTGATCATAAAACGGGTGCTGCACAGACAGCCTGCACGCATCCATCACTACTTTTTCATTACCTTTAATTAAATTCCGATATTATGCCACCGGTACTTCAGCCACTTTCATTACTTTCTTTATAGGCAGCAGCAGGAAAAAGCAATTACTGTACATCACCGCCTCGCCAACATAAATTTTTCAAGTTGATGCCTGTTTTTTGCCTTTTTTAAGCTGCAAAGCATGGAAGGAACCTCCTCCCCTGCAAATATCCCGAGGACATAGGTCCTGATCCTGCCAGAAGTGGTGGGAAAAGCTCCGGCCTGCCCGGGGGGTGCAGGGTCAGCAGCTGCCACACGGCAGGCGGGGAGAGGG